CAATATAACTAAATTACTAAATGGCTACACCAAAAACGACCATGCAACTACGAGCAGCTCTATTCTCGATACCTGCACGATGTCAAATAGGACATCATTCCAGCAGAAGGGTGAGAAATATTATCATAATAACAATGCATATAATCATATATGTAGACACAAGCATTGAATACACATATTCCACATTTTTTTCACCACAATTCATTATGATTATCATATACCTCACAATGTTTATATAAACCAATATGGATAATCATCAAGCGTGTTCATAATACACACATCCATAATCCTCATCATTCCACATCAACATGCTCATATTATGTTTATTCACCAATTCACAGTTACACATTCACAATACAGATATAAACAGATATGGATAATTTCCAAGCATATTTCATCATGCCTACATCCAAAATTCTCAATCCAACAATTCACGCACATATGCATACTTTCATACAATAATCACATATTCATCATTCTCAATTACACAAGTCATGTACATACTCATATGCATAACTTTATACAACAATTATCCATTTATGCCATGAGACTCAATGCAACTCATGCCATGTGGTACCAAAACTTGTTATCATTTTTCGGTTTTTACATTTAAACCGAGTCCGTCCCCTAGACCGATAACAACAAAGTCCCGTCCTCTAAGCTTTCAAACCCACCCTTCTAGGTTTGGGACAAGTCACTGGCCTCCACGAAACTAGCAAGCATTGCCTCTTGACCAAATGATGCGTATGCAAACAACAACCAAATGCACTTAAGACCGTTCTCGCATCTTAATCCCATGTATTCTCAAATAATTCATCACACAAGAATTATAACATGATTGCACACTCATATATCATATCAAAGTATTCATACTTTCAACATCATCACATTTATCAAGCAATGCACACATATTCACAATATGTTCCCATGCATTCTTCACAATATTGCATACAATCAATATGCATTCACAATTCAATACCATCACCGCATTTATCAAGCAATGCACACATATTTACAATATATTCTCATGCATTCTTCACATACAACCGCATACAATCAATATGCATTTCACAATATCGCGCCAACGACAACAAACTCAACCACATTCATCATGCAATTTTAATTAATTTAAACAATGCATATATTTGTCAAAAGACCATATTTATCAAGCAATGCACACATATTCACAATATGTTCTCATGCATTCTTCACATACAACCGCATACAATCAATATGCATTTCACAATATCGCGCCAACGACAACAAACTCAACCACATTCATCATGCACTTTTAATTAATTTAAACAATGCATATATTTGTCAAAAGACCATATTTATCAAGCAATGCACACATATTCACAATATGTTCTCATGCATTTTTCACATACAATCACATAAAAATCATTATGCATTCACATCATCGTGCCAAACGACAACAAACTTCATCACAAATCATCATGCATTTTTAATCAATTTAAACAATGCATTATATATGCCAAAAGGCCACATTTCACAATCGATTCCATGATCTAGGATTCCCGCCATAGGGCTACCCACAACACATCTTATCACAACAGTACACAAACTATTCATTTCCGATAAGGATTAAACACAATCGAACCAAACAATCAACATTGGATGGAAACACAAGGAAATGAAAATGCTGTCACACTCGCTAGCTTGCTCGCCTAGCGAGTTCCTAGCGAACACTCGCTACCTGTTCGCCTAGCGAACAAGCTCGCGAAGGAAAACAAAAGCTACTGTAAGGCTTCGCTACCTACTCGCTGGGGCTTCGCCTAGTGAACCCCTCGCTACCTCGCTCGCTACCAGCGAAGAGGGTCAATTACATTCTGTCCAAGTCTGGGACCATTCGCTACTAGCTCGATACAACGAATACTCGCGACCTGCTCGCCTAGTGAAGGTGCTAGCGAACGTCTGCGATGTTCAAAACCCCAACTGTCCAAAATCATCAAATTATCACAAAATCAACTGATTCAATTCCAACGAATTCCAGTAGTCTTAGCCTAACAATCCTCGACTAATCTACACCATTTATTCCAAATTTTATCTATTCAAACATCGACTCTATCGATTAAATCCATTTCTGCCCTAGAATGGAAAAAGATGGGAAAACCTCCAACAAATCCAAACACACACATACATAATCATAAACATTGATAAGATAATGATATTTCACACCCTTACCTTGATTAATCGGAAGCTAGAAGTCGTTCTGATGATTCCAAGCTTTTCCTCTATTTTCTCCTCTTCTCTCTTCTTCCTTCTTTCTTTCTCTTCTTTTTCCTTTCTCTCTATTTCTATCTTTTTCTTTCCACTTTCTCTTATATATCCTTCTCTTTTATTTCTCCTCAATATATCTCATCTTATCATTAATTAGAGAAGATCTAGTAAATTCACCTTATTCTACCAAATAGAATAAATTAGTTAAATCCATTAACTCATATAAATTAAATAGATCCAATAATTCATTAAATCAATTAATTAGTACAAATAATCAATTATTGAAAATTGGACTGTTACAGTATGCAAGACGTATTGGAGTAACATAATATCTACCATCAAAAGACTAAAACATCAACAACATTGTAAAAATGCAACACACCTTAAAGATAAAGTGGCGTGATTTTGCAAAATCAAAATATTTTTATAAATTGTAAAACTCGCTCAATCATTAGGGTTCCAAATTGTTTTTAGATAAAGGGCGTATTTTGAAGCATTTAAGAAGAGGATAAGGCAATGAATTATTAGGGATTCATTCCTATTCCTATTCGTTTGTAAAGTGTAAATTCTTTATTTTTTCTTGCATTGGTCATTAATCACTTAAGGATGAGTGACTAGTTCTCTTGCATTGAGTCTCCTAGATGAATTTTTAACCAATAATATGAACCATGTAATTCATTTAGATATTATTTCTATAATGATAAACTCTTATAGTTATTCAATATATTTTTTGTTTAATATTTTTTCCCACTTATGAAATTGAGGATCAATCTAGATAACTTTTGAGAACTATTTGTAGATAATGCTTTTGGAATTAAATATTATTGAAAGGTCGTTTATGATTATTAGACATAGGGCATACTCAATCCTTGTAACACCCCAATTTTTGATTATTTTGTTTTAATTGAGTTTTGGAATGTTTTTGATTTATTTATTTAATTTAATTAAATAAATGAGTGTGAGTAGAATTATTTAACTTAGTGGAAGTGATGGATATTGTGGTTTAGTATATTCTAGAATTTAATTGTAATGTAATAATTTAAATGATTAAATATGTTTGTGATCCTCCAAAATATATCAAATTTTATTTTTAGTCTCTCAAAATATTTTTTTTCAAAGAACGATTCTCATAAAATTTTTCATCCACACTTTTAATCACTCTTGCAACTTGGCAATCATTTTTACAAATTAGTGACATAATTAACAATGATTTATTACTTAACGATTGAATTAACGCCAATTTTTGTATTAGGGACCAAAAATGTGAATGAAAAATTTTAAGACGACTATTCTTTAAAGGCAATATTTTGAAGAAAATTTTAGGACGACTAATGTAGATGATGTAAAACAATCATAGTCTAAAGATGCATGAAATGATGATGATATAAGGAAAGTTTAGTACGACAAAAATGATTTGAAGAGAGTCAAAAATAACTTTTGAATGAGAAATGATTTAAATACTTAAGAAATTATGCAATATCCTCATTACATAGAATAATTAGTTAGCAATCGAACGCGTATGAGGTGGCTTGAGGTGCATTCGTCCGTTAGACCGATCTATACGACTATGATATGATTTGCGGAAGAGTTCACATGCTTGGTGGAGAAAAAGAGACCACTTGTTCGTGCCGAATGTCACCTTTCACCACTATTAGACTTCCGTGTTTTTGGGCTTGCGGCTACACAAAACAAAGACAAAAATATACTCCACTTTTTTTTTTTTAATTATAAGTCATTTTAAAAAAAAATTGGATATTATAATATCAAAGAATCATTAATAAAATTTATTTTATTCTCTTTTTTCAATTTTTAAAATTTATGTTTCTTATATATTAATAAATGACAATTTTATAAAATTCTTTATAATTAGTTTTATACAATAATAAATTTCTTAATACGTATGAAATGTCCAAAACAATTTATAATAAAATATGAATCCTCCTAATTAAAATTACTATACTATTTTAAAAATATTATTCTATTTTATAAATAAATGAATAAAATTCACCAATAGATAAGTTTAATAAAACATTAAGACACTCATTATAGAATAGAGTAATTTAAACAAAACACACAGACATTTTTTTAATCTAGGATTAAATATGTTTTTGGTCTCTATAAATATTTTAGATTTCAATTTTAGTTTATAGAAAAATAAACATATTTTGATCCTACAAAAATTTTATGCTACAATTTTAGTCATTGCTATTTTTTAAAAATTTGAAAACTATTTAATTACTCCTAAATTTTTAAATTTTTGAATAATTTTTTTCATAAGTGTTTAGATTATACGTGTTTACCAAATTATATAATTTTTTAAAATAAGAAGAATTAAATTTGAATATTTTAAATTTCAAAAGATAATTGATAAAAATAATAAAAATTTCGACTTATACATTAAATTTTAGGTTTCTTTTTTTCGAGCAATTTTTTATAATGTTTTAAATACACCTGCAAAATAATTATTTAAAAATACAAATTAATTTAACAATAAAGACTAAAATAACATGCATAATTATTTTGTAGAGATCAAAACATACTATTTTTTTTATAAAAAAAAAACTAAAAATTAATAATTTTTGATGGAAAAAAAAAAACATATCTAACCTATTAATTTATTATCATTTTTCCATAACTCAGTTACTTGAAAACCAAGTACACTCAACTTCCAAGAAAAATCCCAAAAAGACTGTAGGAAAGCACTCCATCAATTTATATTAAAAAATGCAGAGACTAAGCACACATAAACCAAACAAGAAATGGAGAAGAACGGCGAGCTAAACGCGCCGCTTCCGGCACCGAGAGTTGCGGTGGTTATATTCATCTTGAAAAACAGATCAATCCTACTCGGCCGCCGTCGTTCTACCGTCGGAGACGCCACCTTTGCTCTTCCCGGCGGCCACCTCGAATTCGGTATTTTCACTCACTCTGCTTTATTTTTCTGGAAAAAACATTTTAAAAAGTTGAGACTATTATTTCACTGTTTTACGGTTGATTTTAGGGGAAAACTTCGAGGAATGCGCGGCGAGAGAAGTGAAAGAGGAAACAGGGTTAGAATTAGGTCAAAATAATATAGAGTATTTGACGGTTACAAATAACGTGTTTTTGGATCAGCCAAAGAAATGCCATTACGTTACTGTTTTCATGAGAGTAGTGTTGGATGCAGAAGAGAAGCAAGTGGTTCAGAATATGGAACCTGAGAAGTGTTATGGTTGGGATTGGTATGAATGGGAGAATTTGCCAAATCCGTTGTTTTGGCCGTTGGAAAAGATGCTTAAAGGAGGGTTTGATCCTTTTCCTCTTTGATTTTATGTGCTTAGAAGTAGACACTGATAATGATTTAAAAAATAGAAGTGATTATGATAATGTGCTTGTACCTTTAGTTTGAAAAGTTAGTGCTATGTGATTTAGAAGAGAGATGAAACCATTTTGTAGGATTTAGTCGAGTCTTGATAGATTAGTTTGCAACTATGCTTTGATGTATTTGTAGTCTATTTTGAGTCTATTTGACTATTGAGTATATAATGACCATTGGGTGGTTATATTTTTGTTGTTGTTGCTGTTGTAGCTTGTCATTTTAATGAAATGAGAATCAGAGCTTTCTCTCAAATGTGTAAAGTCAGAAATTATTGATCTTCATGATAAGGAAGAAGCCTAAGGAATAGTAATGAGGAAATAGTCATTAAGCGTGTTGGCTATTGTCACTCTAGTTCTTGAAGGTATAAACTGAAGTGTGTATTTGTTTCTGTTAGTATTTCTATGGACTAAACTGACTGACCAAAGATACACAGAACCAAATTAACTTTAGAAAGACATATTTGAGGACCAAATTGTTATTTACTTGAATACTAAATGGTAATTGCTTGACACTGATATCAACTATCTAGCACTTATGTTATGAGACTTCTCTTGTTATGACTTTGTCTCAGAGTCTGTTTCAACCTTTAAGATATTAAACTCTTACAGATATGTGTTGGATTTCAAACTGTTATTCACTTCTAGGTCTGTGCTTGCAGAGATTTTGTCATCCCATTCTAAACTGTTATTGTGTCAGCTATATAGTGGCATGCAATTCTTTTTACTGTGTCATTTTTTGCAAGAAAGACAGTGCGGTCAAAGATTTCTGTTATGCAACCAACTTCAAGTATTACTACAGTTTTGTGTCTGCATGAGTTTGAAGTAATTACTTATTATGATCACTCAACAGAAATTTGGTTATCAAATTTGTGTGTTATATGTGTGGTAAGACTAGACATGATAAATTAGGAAAGACAATATTAGAGAGAGTTGGAGTAGCCCCTATCATAGTAAAGATGGTGGAAACTCGACTTAGGTGGTTTGTGCATGTAGAGAGAAGACATGTAAATTCTGTAGTAAAGAAAGTAGATCAAATGGAGAGTAGTCGAATAACTAGAGGTAGAGGTAGAGGAAGACGTGAACAAATTTTAAGAGTAAGATATAGAGATTAATGAGTTGGATAGAGATATGGTTTATGATAGAATATTGTGACGTCGTTTAATCCATGTAGCCAACCCCACTTAGTGGGTTAAGGCTTGGTTGTCGATTTTTTTGACTTTAAGCCGTGGGCATTAAGATCAGTGTTATCAATATCAATGTTTTTGCTGGCCCATTGCGAAAATTCTGCCATATTATTCACACCCCATAGTGGCCTATCATGCTGTTATTGCAGGCAATTCTTCACAATTTAACAACACTGATCAAAATTCATAAAGATGCAGTGATCCCATTCTACTAAATCAAATAATCACTAAATGAAAGGTTCGTTTTGTTTCTGAGGAAAATCAATTTACTTACTGGTATTTTAACTAGCTAAGTTTGGGACTTCTGTAATTGAGCTTTATTTTATAAATTTTGTTTGTTCACCAGTCTCTGGTTAGTTCTATGATTCTATCTATGCTTTAGTAACTTATATTTCTCCATCCCAATGAATTGCTTATGAATTGTTTCTTTGTTGATTTGAAGGTATTGTGATATGTGTCATTTTATGGGTATATGTCAATGTGTCATTTTCTAAAAACTCTATGGAAAAAGGTATGTTATTTTTATATAAATATTCAAAAAGAATAATCTTTTGGTGTTTATCTTAAACAATACTCCTAGTATCTTGTTTGTTCTAATTTAGATGATGTTTGATTCATATTGACATTATGTCATGGTAAAATAGCCCTGTTTATGCACTGTAATTGATGGTGATGGCTGTGGATAGCGGCGCTCTCTCGAGCGAGCGGTGTGGAGGCCGGCTGTGACCAGAAAAGCCCTAGCGGCGCAGTTCAGCGTCGCATGCGATATTGGATGGATCGCGGGTTGCGGGATCAGAGCAGTTTCCAGCCGGGGGCGTTACAATTTCCCCTCCAAATTGAAATTACCTTCACATTTAAACTGTTTTAAGAGTAATTTCGAGTTTTTTGCTCAAATATGAGCCCTAACTTTGCTTCACCTTTCTCCCTCCCTCTTCCTCAGTCACAGTGTTCCTCCATCCCTCCATCATCGCCGCTGGCATCCCTTTCAACCGTTGTCGCACCCATCCTCCCTCTTCAGTTGGTTTTTCCCCTGTTTCATCTTCCTCCAATTCTGTTTCTTCCTCCCTCCACTCTGTTTTACTGCACTTTGTTTATATTTCATCCTCCCTCACTCTGTTTCATTGCACTTTGTTTGTATTTCGTCTGTTTATAGTTTCTTCCTTATTTTAATTTTACTGCAATCTGTTTTTATTTTATTTCACTCTTTTAAATTCATTTGTATTATTCAAACTTTTGTTTTTATTTCATGTTTTTATTGTCTTTTTTATTTTATTGTTACTGGAATTTGTTATTATTTCATCTGTATTAATACTTGTTTTTATTTGTTAAAAATATCAAATAGAGGTCATCCAGCAATATGTTACGCCGCAATCCGGGATTGACTACTCTTGTTTTATGCTTTACCTGCGTTTTTTATTGTCTTTGATGATTATGTTATGTTAGTTGCTTATCATGTTCAATTTATGCCATGAAGTCCTGTATACGTCAAATATCCTATCTGTTACATAACATTTTCCTAAAATCTTGTAGAGACTAAAATGAAATAATACGTGAAAATAGAAGGGAATTGAGTTATGTTATTATTGAAAAATGAATATCAAGCATTTTATAGCCTCTTACACGTACTGAAGCAGAAGCAAAAATTGAAAAGCTATTTTTCATGACAAGTTACATGGAAATTCAAAACAACTAATCCTAGAAAATAGGACACCCATAAGACTAGGAATTTTACTGAGAACGTGAATAAAATGAATAACTAATTTTGACTATCATTCCTTCCCTTAAGCTTAATGCATCTGCATTGAGTTTAAACTTCAGCTGCATCAATTACACTAAGTATTTCACGGAGCTTCACAAATTGCTCCAATTTAAGATGCTCTGTCATTATATTAGCAATTTGTTCTTCAGAGCTACAAAATCTCAGCTTCACATCTCCATCATTTACCAAGTCTCAGAGAAAATGAAATCTTACTCTAATGTGTTTGATTCGTCCATGAAAAATAGAACTTTTGGACAACTAAATTGTAGAATTGTTGTCGCAATTAATTTTCGTGCTTCCTCTTTCTTCAACTCCAAGATTCTCTTAAGCCAAATACATTGACACACACAAAGTGCAGCAACAATGTATTCAGCATTTAACTTCGGTAGTTGATAGGCTCACTACTGGCTGCTTTTTTTGAAGCCTATGAAATTGCTCCAGATCTCATAATGAAAGCAAAACAGAAGTGCTCTTCCGGTCATCCAAATCTCCAACATAGTTGTTATCTGTATAAGATACAAGACTCGCGTTTCTTTTGTCTCTTTTGTAGAGTATGCCAAAATCAATGGTTCCTTTTATTTACCTTAAAATTCTTTTTGCTGTAAGCCAATGAGATGACTTTGGATTTGCCATGAACCTACTAATCAAGCTTACTCTATACATTAGATCTGGTCGAGTGGTTGTGAGGTACACGTGGCTTCCAATTGCTTGTTTAAACATGGTGGTATCTACTCCATCTTCTGCCTCATCTTTTGATAACCGTGTTCTGAGAATAATAGGATTCTTCATGAAGTTGCTGTTCCCCATGCCGAATCTTTCAAGGATTTCTCGAGCATATCTTCTTTGGCAGATAAATATTCAAGTTTCATTCTATATAACTTCAATTCCCAAAAAAGTATCTCATCATTCCCAAGTCAGACATATCAAATTCTCTCATCATTGAGCTTTTGAATTTATCACACATATTGTTATTGCCTCTAGTAAATATGAGATCATCTACATAAAGACTAATAATAAGTATGTTACCTCCTTCTTTCTTGGTAAATGAGGTGTGTTCTTTCAAACCCTTTACGCATAAAGTATACTTCTATCTTGCTCTACTAAGCCCTTTATGGCCATACAATGCCTTTTTCAATCTGTAAACCCTGTCTTATTTTCCCTTTATGATAAAGCCTTCTGGTAGTTCAATGAAAACGTCTTCAAGTTTTCCATGAATAAATGCACTCTTCACATATTCATATTGAGCTGCAAGTGCAAGAATTAGACGTACTGTATCAAGTCTAGCCACTGGTGTAAAAATTTATGAGTAATCTATTCCATATCGTTGTGCATATCGTTTTGCCACCAATCTTGCTCTGTGCTTTTCTACTTCTCCACTTTTGTTGAGTTTGGTTTTAAAAACCCACTTAACTCCAATTGGCTTAAATCCTTTCGGTAGATCTGTGATAATGCGAAAATGTACATTATTATTGCCGTATTTTTCATTTGTTAACTGTATGATTTCAACCCGAGTCCTTATTATTCCGCAAGTTTGCTAAGTGTTTTTGCAGGTATTTCATTCTCACGCTAAAAATAAGCAAGACATAGAAAAGCACGCAAGGAAGGGACAAAAAAGGGAGAAAACTCCAGAAAAGAACAGAAAAGCAGGATTTTGGGAGTGTGACGGTCGTCACAATGCACCACGGTCGTCACGACCACCACGACCGTCATTGCCCAACACGATCGTCACGAGTATATTTTTAGTCATAACATTCAAAACAAAACGTGCCCACGAAAGGGAGAGAATTTAGGCACGACTGCCCTAAGAATTCTCTCCCTCAACTCATTTTCCTCCGACTTTTCCTTATGCAACTCATTCTACGTACCGAAGTGCTGCCAAAAATTCTGCTGAAGCCATTTTTCATTCTTGCTGTTATTTCTTTTCCTTTTCTTTAGTTTAAGTATTGTATTTCATTCTGCACTTGTATTTCGCTGAAGTAGAATCTTGTCGACATTGTGGAGGACTA